TTCAGCCTGGCAAGCTGTTAAAAGCCACTGCTCATCCGGTCAAAGAGCAGCAAAAGGACCATTTGAAGAGGATGACCAAGGCCGCACAAAAGAGTCTGGTTGAAACAAAGAGCTCGTACCCCCCCCCTCCCCCGGGCTGGAATTTTTCCAGCCAAACTATCTGGCAAAGGGCTACACGTAACAGAATTGGGATTGGGGTATGAGCAGGGAAATTCTCGACCCCCCCTTGCCATGGGGCAGCTCAGTCCGAGTGTGTCTAGACTACAGAGTTTTGTCGACAAAAGTGGACTTTTGTCGACAAAACTATACCTGCGTCCACACTACCACTGAGTTCTGTCGACATAACGTCGACAGAACTCAGCAGTTTTGTCGACGCTGGTAAACCTCATTTTACGAGGCATAACGCCTTCTGTCGACAGAAGGTGTTATTGCATGTAAACTGTCCTTTGTGTCTACACTACCATGTCGACAAAGCAGCTTGCTTTGTCGACAGAACTCAATGTCATCTAGACGCTCTTTGTCGACAGTATCTGTCAACAAAACTTCTGTCGACAGAAGCCTGTAGTCTAGACGTACCCTCCTTGTCCAGCTACTTGGAGCTCACCGAGGCTCTGCCCTGCTCTGAGCACAGTTGCAGCAAGAACTGGTGAAATGTGTTCGCTTTGCTCTGCCCCAGGGAGTCATGCGGCTGAATTCCAGTGCTCTGGGAATCAGCCCTGCTCCGGTTCGACAGCCTGGGCAGGAGACCTCTGCCCTGCATGCATGCTGCTTCGTAAGAGCCCTGCATTCATTGCTCAGGCTTTAGGGACTCTTTGCCCGGTGTTTTGTCCAGCACGTCGGTTTTGCTGACCTCTCTGTCGCTGAGAAGTATTGAGAGCCTCGTGTGTGGGTCCTGCAGAGAAGGAAGCCAGGAAATGTAGTGAAGTTCTGCATTCATAAGTTTGCTAACGCTGCTCTTAGCCTGAGCCGAAGACGTCGAGATCTGTGTCTGAACCTGCTTCTCCGTAACTTCCGTAGAGTATCTTGTTCCTGGCGGGATGAATTGGACACTTTGTTAATACAGAGAGGTGGTGTGAGCCACGTAGCCCATAAAAACGTGCAAGCGGGGCTAATTTGTTTGCAGATTTCTTTAGTATGTACTTTTATTCATCGTAGATTGAAATCAAATATGCTCTCCCTGCAGTAGCCGCTGGGCAGTTGCTTCAGCCTGCCCTGGCCTTGGATTACACCCCTTACTGGTTGCTAACCCGTTTTCGGAAACGCCCTTCGTATTGTGTGTGCGTAACAAACCCAAGATTGTTATGCTGGCGTTGGATGTGAATTGAATCTTCAGCTTGTGTCTCCTGTGTGTCCTTGAGCTGGTGCGTGAAAGCAAGTGCCTGGCCCTGGGGAGGGAGGACCCAAAACGTTATCCTGTAGGGGGGTTCTTGGCACGGACAGCTGCCCTGCCGACGGCCTTTTAGACCTCCTCCTTTGGCTGTAGGACAGCGGGGAGGAGGAAGGGCGTTTCGCGGAGGGCTGGCCAGCAGCAGGGGGATGGAGGCTGGCGTGGCACGCAGGAGGAGGGCTGCCATGCATCTGCCTCTGTCAGAGTTTTGACACTTTGGTAATAATACGCCCTCAATTGATTCCTTGGCCAGAATCATGCTAATTCCTGCCCCAAGTGCCACGGGGCTTGCAGGGCTTGGAGGCAGCGGAGATCCGGAGCCCAGGCCGCCCCGGTGCAGGGAGCAAGCGTGGGGCTGTGCCTTTGGGTGCTGTGGTGCAGGGTGCAGGCGGGCGCAGCGAGGCCAGGTAGACTGTGCACAGGCCGCCTGCCTGCTACACGCCACCCCAGCTGCAGCCTCGGCGCTCAGGAGAGAGCGATCAGCCAGGAGAGGTCCCAAGGCGGCCGAGACTTTCTCCCATTGGCCTAGAGGGAGGTCGGTGATTGGCCACCCTGCGAGGAGCAGTTCGGTTGCTGTGGCGATGCCCGGGCTTACAGCGGGTCCTGTGGTGCAGCTTGTGCCTCTGTGCACAGGAATAATTCTCCCTAATCCTGCGGAGAGAGGCAGCGCCGAGTAAGGCCACGGCCCCCCCGGAGGAGCCCTGTCTAGCGCCGAGGGAGCAGCGCGGGGACAGAGCCAGGCAGAGGGGGAGCGAGCCCCGGCTCTCCGAGAGCAGCCTGCCTGCTGTCTATGTCCTGCCTATGGCCACGGCTGAGCAAGCAAGGGGCCGCAGGCGCCAGGCAGGTCGGCAGTGCAAACCAACGTGAAGCACAGGCCCTCCTCCCCCCGCAGTGTGCACGAGCAAGGCGTACACAGGACTGAGCTCATGCAGGCGCACAGGGTGTACAAGCACGGATAGGCCCGCCAGAGGACGCGCGCCACAGCAAAATGCACATCTAAGCGTAGCTAGAGTCCCAGACCCGGACGGAGGATGCTGCGGGGAAGCACCCTCTTCCCCATTGTCCCAATGGTCGGCCCTCCTCCCCCCGCAGTGTGCACGAGCAAGGCGTACACAGGACTGAGCTCATGCAGGCGCACAGGGTGTACAAGCACGGATAGGCCCGCCAGAGGACGCGCGCCACAGCAAAATGCACATCTAAGCGTAGCTAGAGTCCCAGACCCGGACGGAGGATGCTGCGGGGAAGCACCCTCTTCCCCATTGTCCCAATGGTCTACCCACTTCTCCCGCCTTGGACCTACTCCTCAGGTCACATACATAATGCAGAATCACACCCACTAGCTCTGAGTCCTGTCCGGGCACAGCCCGGCAAGCTGCAGCTGCCAGCCACGGGGCACAGGCCAGGCAGGCTGGGGCCACTAGAAGGGTTTCGTGGAAGAGCTTGTACCAGCAGCAGGCAGGCTGGGGTGCACGCCTGTCGGGGACGGTCTAGGTCAGTGGTTCCCACCCGGGATGCGCGGATCCCTGGGGTACCAGAGGTCTCCGGGGGATATGCTCTCTAGTCTAGACATTGGCCTCATTTTACAGCCGCCTACAGAAGAAGCAAACTGAAATGCCGTGATGTGCTTATACTGGGCGCTGCCGGTGTGTATGTCCCGGTGGGTTTGTGTTGCCGTGACGTGGTAACGGCCGCTGCTCCGGACGCGTTTGTGTTTTCATGTCTAGTCTGTAAGCCGTTTGTGTTTAATGGGAGTGAGGGGAGGCCTGGGGGTCCCCGCGACAAGGCAGACCCTGAAAGGGGCGCTGCAGCCTGGCGAGGCGGAGAGCCGTGGGTCTGGACTGGCGTGGTCCTGTCTCAGCTCGGGGCTGGAGGAGTTGCGTTCTCCAGGTCCCTTTCTAGCCTCACCGTCCTGCCTGGCCCCTTTTCGGAGGCCTAATTGTACTTGAGACTGTTTATTTTAAGGGATACAAAGTCCTCGCTGCTGCTACCGCCTCCACAGGGGTCACAGGAAAGTTCACCCATTAAAGTTTCCCTGTGGAGTCGGGAGGGGGCAGGGAGAGGAGGGAGACTGATAGCAGCAGCTACAGCACCTTCTTTCCCCCTCCTCTGCCGCACACACCTTTGGCCTCCTGCACATGCGCCAGAGTCCCATGTGTCCCGTGTTCTCCGGCAGCCTGACCCCTATTGTCCTGCCGCAGGAGCGCGGAGGCAGGGAACAGGAAGCCAGGGACCGCCATCTGCTTGTCAGTTGGTGCAGCTTCTTTGTTTGAACCACAGCTCACAATTGCACAGGAAGCGGCTCCCGGTCCCCCTCCAAGCGGCACCTAATGCAATAAAGGATTTACGGCTGCAGGGAGGGGGCGGGAAGGGGAAATAGATGGAGCAGAGTTTAAAAAATGTGACATCTGACCCAGGAGACTGGCTCCTGAGCACGCGAAAGCCAGGCGAGGTCCCTGCGCCCTGCCGGGAGGAAAGCGATTTCTGCCCATGGCCACACTGTTCCCTAGTGCCCCGCAGCTCCGGCCTGGGTGTGTAAAGGAGGAGGAGGAAAGGCGCTTGTGCGTAAGAGCAGGAGGCAGTTGGGGTCCAGGTACATGGCAGGGAGGGAGGATGGGATGGGGGCAGCTGGGTGCCAAGCGATGCAGAGGCAGGAGCGCCGGGAGCCGGGGCTGGGAGCAGAGGCATGCAGGAGAGAGCCTGCGGGGCACCCGGGGGGGACGTATAGACGCACGGGGTGTCTGTGCCCCTGACATGGGGGGCTGGCTGGTGTGGATACGGAAGACGCGGGCAAAGACAGGTAGGTGTCAGGGAGTCCCCTGGTGAGAGCCGTGTCCTTGGGCACTGGAGGGAGCTCGGCGAGAAGCGGGCGGGAGCTGCAGCAGGAGCCTGGAGGACGAGCGGATGGTGTTTCTATGCAACGCACAGGCCCCGGCTCTGCATTTCGCTGCCCAGATAGCTCAGTGCCAGGCTGCTGGAAGAGGGGCGAGGCAGGGGGCAGTCGGTCTGTGCCCATGCGTCCGTGTGGCTCCCGGAGAGGAACAGGGAGGGATTCTGCCCGCAGCTGCAACAGGACGTATGTGAGGAGTCCCTGGGATGGGAACCTAGCACCAGGGCCCCTGAGGCGTCTCCCGTTCTGCACTGAGGTGCATTTCTGCCAGAATGCCCAGCGGTGTCTGTCCTGGAGTCTCTGCCCTGGGAAGCCAAACCCCCATTGACGTCAGTGGGGCGGACAAGGCCAGGATACCCCTTCCCACGGGTCTGCCGTGCTGGGGCGGTTCAGTGGGGGGCAGGGGGCAAACGTCGGCCTCCCAGGAGGAGGGCTGCTCAGATCCATCGCACTGCAGGGCGATGACGCCCCTGTGTGGCCTAGGCTGTGACTGGCGTGCGAGCTGGGCACACGGGATTCTGGGGAGCCCTACAAAACTCGTTTCTCTCCCCCTATGCCCACTGGCAGTCTGGCAAAAGCCGTGGCCCATGCAGGCTCTGGGCAGGATGCTACCATGTCCCTATTGGCGGGGGGGCAGCTGCTGCTCTCCTGGCTCCGGGTAGGGCGGACGGGCGCGTTCAGGGAGGGGGCTGTGGGATTTGAGCGGACGCCTCGCTCTCGTTGCAGATGATTCCTCGTCCGAGAGCTGCAGTGGGAACGGCTCCTCCACCCTGAACCCTTCCACCTCCAGCAGCACGCAGGGAGACAGCGCCTTCCCGGAAATGAACGGGAACGGGACTGCGGCTCCCATGGACTTCACCGCCTCAGCCGAGGACCAGCCCATCAACCTCTGTGACAAGCTCCCGTCTGCCCACGTCGCTCCCTCCTACCAGTCGGACAGCTGTGCCGACGGGCTGCGGAGCCGGGTCAAGTACACAGCCAAGACGACAGCGGAGGTTGGTCTGGCCAGCACGCCTGGGCGGGGGAAGGGGATACACACAGAGCCACCTGCGCGGTAAAACGCCCAGACTCCTTTACAGCCCTCCCCAGGCCGCGAGGAAAATGGAGGAACGTGCACACGAGATGTCCGAGGGCAGCAGAGGACTTTGCTCCTCTCCGTGGAGATGAGGGAATGGGGCTCCGCACGGGGCCGGTTCGGAGAGGGGTGGAGCCTGCCCGGGGAGCTGGATGCATTCCCTTCTAGGGAGGGACGGGGAAAGCCGTGGCGCTGTACTCGGCCAGCGCTGAGGAACTGCTAGCGAGCAGCTGGCTCTGGCTTTGCTCCAGACTTGGGACTCTGGCTGTGCAGTGAAAACAAGGCCCAACTGGAGGCAGCGTGGTTAGCAGAGGTAGGGGGAGAGGAAACCTTATACCAGGAGCCCTGGCCCATAGCCCTGCCCCCAGGCAGCTCCACAAAGAGCCTGCTGCTGAGCATGTGGATTTGCTCAGGGCCTGCAAAGACATTACTGCGTAGTGGCCCTTTCCCACGCCTCGGTTGAGACAGCAGCATTCCCCCCCCCCCCCCGCCTCGACTGCCCGCTCTGGCAAGGCTGGCCCGTGGGCGAAACGCCCCGAGCCTTTCCCTGGGAAAGCCGTTCCCCAGGCTCCTCGCCCCACAAACCAGCCACGACAGATGCAACGGCAGCCGGCAGCATCTCCCCGGGAGGTGTCAGCAGGCAGGTCTCTGCTGCGGCACATCGCCCCTCTGCACAGCCGCTGGTGAGGCCTCAGCAGGCCCCTGCGGGGCTCCCACTAAGCGGTGCGGCCGCACGGCCACGCACCGGAAATGTTAGGCCCACCCCCTCCTTCGCCAAGCCTGCAGCTGCACTCGCCTTCCTGCTGGAACGCAAGGCGGGCGACGGCGGCCTGGTGGGTTCTGGCCGGTCGGCGTGGCGGCGGGCAGCTTCCCCCCTGAGGGTATGTCTGCGCTGCAGTGTTATTTCGAAATAGCTAATTCAAAATAACACGTCTACACACAAAATGCATTTCGAAATAGCGTGTCCACACTGAGTGGATGTGGAATCGCATTTAAGGCTGGGTTACCTTGTGACCAGGGCGGCCAGCAAGGCACCCTGGAAGGGCTGGAGGCCCCCTATTTCAAAATAAGCGTCTACACAGCCCGTATTTCGAAATAGCAATTTTGAAATTGGCGCTATTCCTCATGGAATGAGGCTTACCAATTTCGAAATAAGCCCTCCGCTATTTCAAATTAATTTCGAAATCACGGAATGGCTGTGTAGACGCTAGGAAAGTTATTTTGAAATAACTTTGCTGTGTAGACATGCCCTGAGGGTTTAGTTGCAGGGCACCACCAGGCTCCCTCCCACCTCAGACACCTGTGGAGTCTCTTTCCTTCCCACCTCGTCCACCCCATATTGCCCAGGACTCCTGTGAGGGGGGGAGGTGTGTGTAGAAAACCCCGACCAATGACTGGCTGCAAACAGTCAGGTAAGGAGCTTAAGTTTCCTGCCCAGTGGTCAGCTAAGAGGTCTGGAGTAGGGATGTGAAGGACTAGTCGACCAACCAATATGCAAATGCTTATCGGACAGTCGACACACTAGTCAACTAGTCGCTCCCCTCCCCCGCCCCACTGCCTCTATCAGAAAGAGGCAGCAAGAGGGAGAGAAAGAGGAGGGGGGGTTTCAAAGCGGCAGTGCTGTGTGGAGTCTGGGGCCAGACCCCGGGCTCCACGTGGTGCTGCCGCTTTGAAACACCACGTGCAGCCCGGGGCCAGCCGGGGTGTCTCCAGGCTGCACGCGACGTTTCAAAGCGGCAGCGCTGCACGGAGCCCAGGGTCAGCGGGGGAGTCCATACGGCCCTAGAGCTGTGGCTACACTTCAGTGGCGGAGGTGCCCTTATCGACTAATTGAATAGTCGATGCAAAGTGCACCGGTGATGTGGTTAGTCAGTGAGTCGCTATTTAACATCCCTAGCCAGGAGCAGCGCCATTCAGTGCGTGTGGAAATGAGTGAATTATACATAGCAATAAACGCTGCTAGGAGCCAGCAAGGTGCACCCATCCGACCAGCGCGCATGGTGCCAATACTAGCGCCCAAGACGCAACTCCCTCCGCTCACGCGTGGAAACCCTTCCAGGGAGCCAGGTCCTCTCTCACAGAAAGCAGCTTCTCTAGAGGACAGAGGCGAGGTGTGCCCCACACCTGGCAGAGCAAGCGGCTCTCTGTTGTAGCAGGAACAGGTTCACAAGGGACAGGCTCTGGCGGAGTGTCACTGTGTGTGCGCATGCCCGCGATGCAGGATGAATCAGACACACACACAAGGCAGCACCTGTGCGCACACGCCTTGCTCCCGGCAGCTCCTTGGCCCAGGGCGCGCCCCAATTGTAGAGGAGCCGAGGGGTCGGAAAGGCCGCTTTGTGTTACGGACGGCGGCCTGCTCGGTCTGCACTAGGTGGCAGAGGGCCTGTCCGTTATCCCCACGTAGAGATGGACAGCTAGCCGGGAGACAGGATCAGACGGACAGAGAATTTAGGGGCTTAAAGATGCAGACGGAGGCTCTAGGGGTTTTCGAAAGGCCCGAAGGCTGGGTAGGTGCTATGGCTGCTTCAGCCCTTTCAGGAGTGAGGTGCCCACCCCACCTTCCACCATTTTGAAAACTGCACCACGTCCCACCTTCCTCTGAAGGTGCCCTGGTGACCCGAGCTCCAGGGGACCCAGCCAGACTCTCTCAGGGAGCCGCTGACCCCAGGCTCAGGGCTCCCTGTCCGAGCACGGCGAGAGGCCCACGGCACATGTCACCCGTTTCCCCAGAGAAGAGATCCCTGCGCTGTGTATGGCCCCTTGGCCCCACTGCAGTTCCTCCCAGGTTGTCAGAGGGACCCCACACCCACCCTTTAAACAAATGCCATGGAAGAGGGAGTGGCTGCCGGGGACTTTGCCTCTTTTCTGCTTCCATTTTCAGCTGCTCTCTGGCCCCTCTGCTCCTGTTCGATTCCGCAGTGCTGCGTTTGGGACAGCGCCATGGATTTCACGCTGATGTTATAATAAAAGGGGTGGGACTTCCTGGTGGGATCAGGCGGCGGGAAGGGCTGTCTGGTGCTGGCTGACAGACAGACAGACAAGAGGAGCACAGGAGCCAGAGCAAACCGGGAAAAGACAAAGGGCTTCTGCATCTCCCTGTTCCTTGTCCTGTTTGAGATCGGACCCCGGGCTTCGGCAGCGGCCCGAGGGTGAGCGAAGGTCTGGGGCCTCCTGACGTCTTCCTCTCTTCTCTCTCAGTCCCCTCCATACAGTTCGGGCAGTTACGACTCCATCAAGACCGAGGTCAGTGGCTGTCCAGAGGACCTGACCGTGGGCAGAGCGCCCACCGCAGACGAAGACGACGACGACCACGATGACCACGAGGATAACGATAAGATAAATGACTCTGAAGGGATGGATCCGGAGCGACTAAAGGCCTTCAATGTAAGAATTGCAGGCTAGAGCCGAGTGGGGGCAGCTCCCCCGGGTGTCTGCTGCCTCCCGTCCCCCCAACCGCTCTCCATTCTCTTTGCAGATGTTTGTGCGCCTTTTTGTGGATGAGAATCTGGACCGTATGGTTCCCATCTCCAAGCAGCCCAAAGAGAAGATCCAGGCGATTATAGAGTCCTGCAGCCGACAGTTCCCCGAGTTCCAGGAGAGAGCTCGCAAACGCATTCGCACTTACCTCAAATCCTGCCGGCGCATGAAGAAGAACGGCATGGAAATGGTGAGCGGCTTTTCCCGCCTTCCATGCCCTGCTTGTCCTACCACCCGGTCAGAAGGCCACCCTAGGGCTCGCTGGCCTGTCCTCCTTGCAGAGGTGTGGAGACAGGGGCCAGATCACAAGCCCTTCTGGATATTTTCTGTGCCCCTGCTTCCAATGTTCATCTCTTGGAAGTGTCGCTGCACGTTCTCCGCCACCCTCCGGGCATGCATGGCCGGGGGACAGGGACACTGGAGATGAAACGATTGTTTCCATCAGTGTCTGTGCTTCTCAAACGATGACCTGCCTGGTTGTGTGTCTCCCCAGACCAGACCCACTCCACCGCACCTCACCTCAGCCATGGCAGAAAATATCCTCGCAGCTGCATGCGAGAGCGAAACACGGAAAGCAGCCAAGAGAATGCGACTGGAGATCTATCAGACATCTCAGGTAGGCCCCCTGTAAGCCGCTGCGTGCCTGGCCCCATTTCACCCCAGCCTGGGGCAGATGAGCCCGAATGGACAGGCTAGGTCCGCAGAAATCTTACGCTCTCCCTGGATCGCTGATGACGGGTGTGATACCTGTGCCAGGCTGGACACGCTTGGTCTGCGTACAGGGCGACGGAAACGGGAGACCAGGCTGTGCTTGTATGTTGCACCAGGGGAAAAGTCTGGAGAACAAGAAGAAACCATGTACATGGGGGTGGGTGCCAGACCAAGGCAGGGAGGGGGGGGAGGCGCAGGGTCAAACAAAGCAACCACAAAGGGGCAGGGATTGTTGTGTGGGGGGCGGGCGATTGACTGGGACCCAGGAGCTGAGACTCGCCTGCTCTGCCAAAGGTCCAGGGACGTTTTGGCTGCGTGTATGTAAACACCTTCCTCACAGATTCCTGGGGAAGCGTGCAAGCCGGGAGCTTGACCCGTCTGTAACTGGGGGGGAAGCCGCCCTCGGC